GTTTTTTTCAAAAAAGATAGAAGTGCTATATAAATAAAAAACCACACAAAGTGCGAAAAGAAGCAGTCAAATGTTGAATCGTACAATCAAAGACTGAAAAAACTGGAAGTCAGATCTAAAGATTGCCCAAAGCCTGAAGCAACGCTAGAATAACAAACTCACAACTATACAAAACCAACTACACGAACAGAAAACATAAACTAAAAAAAAATCCGAACAGGATAATACCCGAGTGTTCGATCCCAACAAGATGATAAGTTGACACTCAGACACACAGAGGCCAACAACCCAAACAAAAAATACGAGACCTAATAACGAAAACAAGCAAACAACAGACCTAAACCGAAATAAAACTCCTAAATTGGAAAAGTCCTCCCACATAACAGAAAAAGCTCCACAACAACCCCGCCACCGCAACCGAGAGTTCCCTCACCCGTTAGGAAAGCCAACCGAGCCAAGCACCCAGATCTGAAACTGCAGAGAACACCTAACAAGATCCGATACTCCCGCCCTATAAACTCTCCCTAGGTAGACACCCATGAACCAATCAAACGGAGGTTAGTCCCAGGCACACACTATCTCACCAACCAGAAGCACAAAGACAATCGACCCTCAGAACCGTACCGACACCATTGCCTCAGCCCACTCCTCAGCCACCGGAACGCCCGAATCCCACGCCACACTACTGATGCCCTGCCTCGGCTAACACAACTAGCCGACGGACGGAAACACCATCCCTCCCTTGACCCAACACCATGGCACAAAGGAGGATTAAAAGGGGAGACAGAGCCACAGCTCTGGCAGCTACCACAAAAACGCCGCAAACCACCCAAGCCATTCTCCGCCCACAGGCCCACGCCCCAACCAAATCTTCGACAAACCCGCGAAGCTGACGACTTGAACCCCGAAACGACGCCGAAGAGGCGAAACCCGGTTAAGGGAGCCATCCGCCAACACTGGTGCTAAGGACATTGGAGGCACAACCACAGGGCATGTAACACCCCACTTTTTACTATGCGTAAAATTCGGAGTAATTTTTTTTCGATTTTCCAAACTAATAATAAATTTTGAACAATACTTGATATTCTCACGATGTTCCCTTTCTTTTCCTTTTATACATAAAATTATAATCAAACTGAAATATATAATTTTAAGACTTAAGTAAAACTTTTATTACCGAATCATTATTTTGAAAACCTTTGAATTCTATCACACATTGGGATAGATTGATATCATGAGATACTAAATCATGAAGTATTCGACATATGAAATTTAAAGATAGCGGAAACAAACTTGGTTTATCGTGAGCTATTATTTGTTACAGAACAAATAAATGTCCTTTATTTGCCATTAAAACTCGACCACTTCTACCTTAGCTCAACCTGCACGCTCAACTCCATTGCCTGAAATGTCATAATATATGGGATGTGAGTACATCATCATGGTACTTAGTGGGAAACCCAACATAACATTAGTAATAATCATGACATTTAAAAACTGTAATTTATGCATATAACTGAAATAACTGACATATATAAACATACATAACCTCTTTCAGCTTTCAGACACTTAGCCGATATCGTGTGCACACTCTGATGTTAGAAGACACTTGGGTTCCATCAGAACTTGAGTTAAGGATACTTGGCCTTTACACAGGTGATAATCATATAGAACTGAACTGGTAGGTCATTTCCACACTTGGGGAAAACATTTTCTTTCGTACACACCTTAGCTTTATACTGAGAAATAAACATATGTAAATCCCAGTACAGGGTTCCCACCTTTTCTGCTGAATAGTGAAAATGCTGAAATGCTTGAAATACTGAAGCTCGATTCCTCAAGCTACACATGATTAAATAAAATATGCTAAGTCTAATTCTTGAAAGACTTAAATAATTAATGAGATGTTGTCATATGCTAGACTGTCTTTTGACTTAATTCTAATCTTATTATTAATTTTAACAGAACACTATAGGATTCTGGAATAAAATAACTGATTTGGAATTTACTGACTTAGTTCATAAAAAAATCACTAAAATTCCGATACAAACTTGGACAAGAATCTAGAACTAAATGACTCGAATAAAAAATATAATTAAAGCGGGTTCTTTGATTTGGACCAATGGCTCGCCATGAACTGGTCGGTCGCGGTTAACACGAGTGTCTAAGCTCGGTTATTAGTAACACAAATGCATTGGCATTTGACGCGTAAGGTGCTAGTGAATAATATTCCACTCGTAAACCCATCGGCACGATCCCTACCCGTACTCGGCAACAGCTGTTGGGTGCTGCTGGCGCGAGTGCTGGCCTTTAAGGACGCAACCGGGTGCAGCAGGGCACTATCGACAGTCATTAGTACACTGGCACGGATGCTAACACGCGCGCGGATTCATCAGCGCGAGCCGTGTCCATACTCGGCAGCAGTTGCTGGGCGCCGCTACCGCGAGTATTACGATTGCATGGTGTCGCGGGCACTAGGAAATATTGGCGAAAGGCTATTGGGTGTGGCCGAGCACAATTGGCGTAGCTGGTTACACGGGCGCGCTGTCGGGCGCCCTAGAGGTGTAGGTCAGACTCGGCCGCACACTATCGGCACTGACGCGAGTTATCGGATTATTAACCTCTGAACAACCGTGCACTGCCGGGCGCTTGCGAACGCGGCGCCCACTGCCAGACACTAGCACACGCGGCGCGAATTGCCGGGCGCTGGCGCACGCTGTGTGCGTGTCCGCATCCACAGTCGGCTCCTCGCCGGCGGTCCGCTTCTTCTTAATTAACTTCATTACCAACTTATACTTTGAGACATAAGGAGTCTAGAAACACCTAAAAATGCTAGAATACCTCGGTTACATTTTAAATTGGTTCGGGAGTCAAAATTTAGCTATATTGGGTTCTAAATTACCAAGGCACTTAACTCTTTTCAAACTTAAACTTAAGGCTGAATATTTACCTATATTTATCATTATGTTTGGCACTAAAAATATGGCACATACTCACAAGAATAAGGACATGGCTCGGGTGACAAAAAAAAAAATAGCCTAATTATTTAATTTCTAGTTGATCGAGTACAGGACCTCCAAACATGCTACAATTTTACCAACTTATCTAACATGATTTATAATGATTTATGGAGTACTAAACTCAGCTTTGGCACGTAAGGAACTAGACTTCCGAATTTAGGCTTTAATTAACTTAAAAATCATAATCCTTTACTTTACTCGTGCATGTCTCGTTTTCTATGCTTAGTAATCCTTAAAATATCATAAGTAAGTAGTAAAAAGGATTGGTGAAGTGTTTACCTTCACTTGGATTCAAAAATGAAAACCAAGAAGCTCACGGCCTCCTTCTCGAGGTCTCTCGGCAACGGTGATGCTCTATGGGATGGAAGGCTATGGAGGCTAATTAGTAGTGTCGCTTAGGTAATATATAGCCGCTTGTTTCAATATGGCTCGAGGAAATTTGAAAAGAAGGATATGTTACTCGATATAGACTTAGGGTGCATCTAGGGGCTCGGATATGGCCAACCGGGACTACGGTCAAATTTTTTTGAATTTTGTGAAACTTTGAAGTATTGGAACCTTCTTTGGTCTTCTTCCCTATTATGGTTTATAGTAATGAAGAAGGCCCCATCCAATTTGCATTAAAATATACAAATTTGGACTTTTCCTTTCACCCATGCCCTTTCTCTCGGTTTTGGTGCCCAAGGAGGATAAGGTAAGGTTCATCTGATCTTTTCTGAAGTGTCCTGGTGGTCAAACTCAAGTTGGCCAGAAAAAATTATCTAAACTTTGTTTGGGCCTCAGTTGGGCCTTGCTAGCGCCGGGCCGCACGCTGTCTGCGCTGCAGGCCGTGCACTGGGCTATACCGAGCTGTGCCCTGGACCCCGATGCGGCTGCACGCTGGACTGCTATGCGAAGTGTGCAATGGGTCGTGCATTGGGCTACGTTGGGAGATGCTAGGCTGATGTCGTGCGCTAGATACTTTGGCCCAGGTTGTGCTAGTACACTCGAGTTGCACAAGAGTTGCTCGGCCATGACTTGGGCCGAGTAATGTGATATCACTCTTGGTTGTATCAAGTGTGCTCGGCCATGCCTTGGGCTGAGTAATATGAGGTGTGGCACACTTGGGCTGTGCACGGTTGTTGGGCCACGAGATGTGCTTTTGTACTATGTCGCGCACGGAAGTTGAGCCATGTGGTGTGGCTTGGGTCGTAACTTGAACCGACCTTATCTTGGCTTATGTTTTTTTAAGATTCTATTCTTTATAATAATTCAATACACTTGGATTCGACCCTTTTTCTCGACTGATACTTTTTTTTCTCAAGTCATGATAGAAAATAAACCGAGACTTTGGCTAATATATTCTGCTTTTGATATTTCATCTAACCCTAATATTTCTCATTCTAAACTTGGACTTGTAACTTTCATACTAATTAGTTAACTCTTGGAAACTACTTTTCGAGCATTTACTCATATGAATTAGCTTATTCTTGGAATCTAATTACAGTATAATCATTAATAAAATACTGAGTCGTTACAGGGCACAACCTGATGCAACCAAGAGTCGACAAACCCG